AGAAAATAATGAAATAAAGGAACTAATCATCACTACATTTTAATTCAAAACTAATTTTAGGAGAAGATAAAATGGAGCCAGCTATTTAGTGATATAAACTACTAACAAGGAAATACCTTCCTCTCTGATGCACTAAGCTCCAAAAGGTTAGAGGCTGCAAAATTTTCCATCTGCAAGCTGTGAGAATTTCTCTTCTCTAATACCAAAACGCTGCAACTTACCAAAAATAGCTTGCTTTGCTATTTTTATTTAAATTATACCCACATGTTCATTCATGTTGTCATTTCTCTTCGCCTACCTTGCCTTAACTATAATGCAAGCTCTCAAAGGGTAAGACAATCTTCTGTTAAAATTATTTTTATAAATGTCTTACGATTATATGCTTCGGATATTTAGTAATGCTAATAACCAGGAAACTCCAGCAACATAACTTCACGAGTTTCATTTGATTTAGTGAATAACATTTAAGTAGCCTCATTATGCAATATATGGTGCTATAAAGTCAGACGGAAGAGAGAGTGTAGCATTTGGTAAGGCTCGTATATAAAGGTTAATGTCCATCAGTCAGTTTTGCCTTGATTTTTTAGAAATGACAGTGTCTGTATTCATTAAAGGCTGTTTGCAGCACCTTTAAAATAGTGTTTGCTAAACCTAAATCCTTTAAAACTGTTTTATATTTTTAATATTGTTTGCATGACCAAATGATGCATATTATGAAGTGGTAAAAGCCTCCAACGAGGAAAGCAGTTGAACAAACTGAACATTAAGTGGAGAAGAGAAGTAAATGTCCATATAAAAACAGACTCTTAATTGCCTGCTCATTGAAGACATTTGTCACCTTCAGGACATTAAGAGTTAAATGTTGAATCAACCCTTTGGGGACCACACTTTTCTTTCTGACATGGAAAAAAGTAACCTTCAGTGAAAAATAAAGTCCTCAGTTGGTCATTCATCATCTCAAAGGGCATATTTTATTATAAATGTCAATTCCATAAAATTGTGTGTCCTGTAATACATAATTATGTTCAAAATTGCATTTGAAATGTATTATTAACAGTTAACAGTGAACATTCTTAAAATAGTTATTACTCTTGGCCTTAACACAAAAAGCAATAATGGAGATATTTTAGGGAGTTAAAAGCTGTAAGACTTTGGCCTCTGCATAAAGCCACTGCAGGTGTGTTTCTTAATGGGATGTTAATTTCACAGCAGGTAAGCACAAAGGATAGAGACCATGTGTGTTTTTAAACTGTGTTTGGTGTGGAGAAGTTGATGGCTGCAAATATGAAGGCAATGTGAAATGAGGCCGAATTGAACTTGCCCTCATGAGGATAATCTGCCTTGCTTAAGATCAAGTCAATCCTCTTGTATCCCTTTTCTCCCCCGCCACCACCACATAATAAAGAATTCCACAGAAATAAATATTAAAGTAGCATGTCAGAAATCACTAGAAAATATGGCAATAAATAATAAAGATCTGATTGTCCAAATTCAACATCCTCTCACACAAACCATCTCCTTCTAGGAAACATCAGTGATGAGAGAGAATCATTAATCAATCGGCTGCCACCTGCATACCCCCTATTGGGGATTGAGCCTGCAACCCAGGCATGTGCCCTTGATCAGAATTGAACCTGGCACCCTTCAGTCTGCAGGCCGACACTATCCACTGAGCAAAACTGACTAGGTCTAGGATTCTTGTTTTTGCTACCAACATTAAGTCACCCAAACTCATAATCATGGGGTTGATTTTGACCTTGCCTTAGCCCCCATACCTAGTGTCCCAATGTCGAAAGAACTTTGCCTCTCCATGTGTGGGCTGTGGACCACTAAACATGGGCATTAATGGGAACTTGTTTGAAATATCAAAACTCAGACCAAGAGAATCATAATTTGCATTTTATCAAGATCCCCTTCTTATGCCCATTCAATTTTGAGAAGCTCTGCTATAGTATTTTCCTTTACATTGTCTACGTTCCACTTTTTTTCCCCTTTCCTTTCTGGGGAAATAACTTTTTATTGTTACAACTCAATATTTAGATATATTTTGTATACAAAACATGTAATTCCATTTTATGTTTTGATTAGGAATGATGGTTCTTTCATTTTAACACAAGCGTTTAGTTCATTGCTCTTTGATTTAATTATAGATATAGATATATGAAAATTATCTTCCCTCTTTTGTGTTTGCTCATTAACCATTCTAGTCTTCCCTTTCTTCTTTTGTTTAAACTATTTTTATCTTGGATTTATTTTCTCTATGCTACTTCAGAAAATACTTTTTTGCTTTTTAATATTTACACTTAAAATTACAATAAGATTTTTAAATATAATAATAACCTGAAGTTGACTGATATTTGTACCATTATTTGGGATAATCCAGTTTTACACTTCCCAGGTAATATGTGATTGTTTTTAACTTTATTGAGGAATAACTGAGAAGTATAATTATATTATATTTAAAGTGTACAACATGAGAATTTGAAAAACATGAATTGTAAAATGATTACCAAGATCAAGATAATTAACACATCCATCACTTCATATAGTTAACATAGTCAACTCTTTGTGTGTGTGTGGTGAGAATGCTTAAGATTTACTTTCAAGTATATAATACCAAATTTTTAACTATAGTCTGAACTTTAGAGTCTCAGAACTTCTTCTTATAACTTAAAATGTACACCCTTTTACCTATATCACCCCATTTTCCCCTCCTTCCAGTGCTGGCAACCATTGTTCTATTCTCTATTTCTATAAAATCAGCTTTTTCTATTTTAGATTCCACATATAAATGACACTGTACAATGCTGGTTTTTTTCTGGCTTATTTCACTTAGCATAATGCCCTCCAAACTCATCCATTTTTGTTGCAAATAGCAGGATTGCCCTTTTCTTTTCATGAGTGAATAATATTCCATTATCTTATTTTGTATATGTGTGTGTGTGTCACATTTTTTATCTATTCATCCATTAGAGGTCATTTAGGTTGCTTCTATATCTTGGCTATTGCGAATAATGGGGCAGTGAATGTGGGTGTACAGATATCTCTTCTGGATCCTTATTTCAGTTTCTTTGGGTATATACCCAGGAGTGTGATTAATGGGTGATACGGTAGTTCAATTTTTAATTTTTTGATGAACCACTATTCTGTTTTCCAAAATGGCTTCACCATTATGCCTTCCCGTCAACAGAATATAAGGCTTCCCTATTCTCTACAGCCTCACAACATTTGTTATCTCTTGCCTTTTTTATAATAACCAACCTAAAAGGTGTGAATTGATATCTCATTGTAGTTTTGATTTGTATTTTTACAATGATTAGTGATGTTGAACACCTTTTCATATACCTATTGATCATTTGTGTGTTCTTTGGAAAAATGTCTATTCAGGTACTTTGCCCATTTTTTTAATTTGAATTATTTGCGTCTTTATAATTGAGTTGTATGAGTTTTTATATATTTTGGATATTAACCCCTTTTCAGATATATAGCTTGATAGGTTGCCTTTTCAATTCATTGATTTTTTTTCTCTTTGTTGTGCATAATCCTTTTTAAATTTATTTTTTCTTTATTTTTGCATAATTATTGACCTCTTTATTCATCCCTATACAATCTTCCACCATCACCACCCCTCCCCCCACAATCACTATACTGTCCTCTGTCTATAAGTTCTTTCTCTTTTTTTGCTCAATCCCTCCCCCTTTTCCCACATCACTCTTACCTTATCAGATCTGTCTGCTTTCTCTCTATGAGTCTGTGTCTATTTTGCTTCTTAGTTCAGTTTGTTCATTAAATTCCACATATGAGTGAAATCATATGGTACTTGTCTTTTTCTGACTGGCTTATTTTACTTAGCATCATGTTAATTTGGCATAGTACTATTTGTTTATTTTACAATTGGCTAGAATGTACTTTTTTCAAATTTAGATCTTAATATCATTTTACCAAGTTATTGCCCCATAATGCCTATATCATTCTTGTGTCTTCCTGCTTAATCATCCTATCTTCTGCCCTAAGGTTAGCCTTTCCAATATATCCAGACTTTTCGACTCTTCTTAAAAACCTTCAGTGGCTTTCCATTCTTTATTCAATAAATGCTTTAGGGCTGACACTCAAGACCTTATAAAATGTGATTCCGTCCTGTCCCTCCATCCATATCTCCAACTGCTCATCTATATATATAACTTAGCTTTACAATTTTCTCTCCTCTTTGCTTTGGTTCAAGCTGCTCCTTCCATGTGGAACAAACTTCCCAACAGCTCTGTTGAAATCCTCTCCCTCTTTTAAGGCCCATATTAAATACCACTTCCCATAAATACCCTTTTCTGGTTCATTCACTTATTGAGAAAACGTGTACTTATCATATACTATTTGCCCACCTTCTTCTAGTTACTGAGGATAAAGCAATGAACAAAACAGCCACAGCCTCATGGAGCATATTGTACTGGGAGAAAATAGGCAATAAACAGTATATAAGTAAAACAGGTTATATGTTAGGTGGTGATAAGTACTAGGGAGAAACATAAAGGAAGATAAAGGGCATAGAGACAGCTAGGAATGAAGAGTATCCTCCAACTGAATACCTTTCCCCCCTTTGAATAACCAGAGTACTGATTTTCTTTTACAACGTGGTTATTTGTGTACTTGTCCTATTTTATCTCTTATATTCAAAGCTCCTTGAGAGCAAGAACTGCATCTTACTCATTTTTGTATGTCTTGCAGCTTCTGGGGCAGCATTCAGTAAATAATGGTTAAAATGAATCAAATGATGGAAATAAATGCAATAGCAGTTTAATAGAAGGGAGAGACTGATATAGTGGTTGGTTAGGGAGGGCTCCTTGGAAGATATTTAATTTGGGTAAAGCCTTGACATATGGGTGGTGTGGGGAGTAAGAAAGATCTGAGTAAGTCATTTTGATGTATCTGTTCTTGAAAAACTAAAAACCATTGCTTTATAAATTAAGATTAATGTTGTGTGTATTTTTCTTTACTTTCAAAACCAGTATTTCAGAAGGGACGAGCAATAGACACTGGAGAAGTTGACATTGGTGCACAGGTCATGCAGACCATTCCTCCTGGCTTATTCTGGCGTTTCCAGATTACTATCCACCATCCAATATATCTGAAATTCAATATTTCTTTAGCCAAGGACTCTCTGCTGGGAATTTATGGCAGAAGAAACATTCCACCTACACATACCCAGGTATTTGATATTACAGGTATTTCTTGACCCTTTTAAAGGGTGTTGGGATGACTAGTTTGGGGATTGTGACCTGCAACATGTGTTGGAGTCAAAGGTGAAGGCAGACAATCTTTGCAATGAGCAACATCCAGAATAATCACACTAAAGCGAATGAAAAAAAATGCCATTAAGAAATAAGGACTCATATTCAGCAGAGCAGATTCAGAAAAGGGAGTTTAATAAAGTATCCTTGAAACTTGAATCCTGTTTCCTGGAACAGGATAACCATGAGCCTTCCCAACCCCCTCATCTTACTTCTATGGTGCCCACACCCCCCTTTGCTGGTTCTGTGCACCCATGATCCCTTGTCCAGATGAAGGAATGCATATCAATAATGGAAATGAGTCAAAAGGTAGGTTTTGTCTTACAAGTAGAAAAGTTTCCTTGTTATTGTTAATAATAACTCAAATATGTAAAACCTCTATGGTTTACAATGCCCTTCTATAAACTGTAGCTACCTAATTTCTCTCATTCTGTTTTCCTTATCTCTTTCTCACATGAACCCATTTGGGACTCTGTTCCATCTAAGAAGTAGCATAAGGAATCATAGCCATCTGGGACTTGCTTTGTTTTCAGAAGATATAACTGTAGTTCAAACCTTCCCTTCTGGGTCAGACTAGGCAGGGGATTAGAATGCCATTCAAATCTGACTATTGAAAATGTTCAAGGACACATGTGCCATGTGCTTATCCACTGATTAGGAATAAAAAGGAGAGTGTCCTTTGAATATTTAAATATGCTACTACAAAAATAGTAAATTATGATTAATGTTTTCAAAGTTTGACTGTTTACTCATTTGTTTTTTAAAAATGTATAAAACTCTTTAATTTGTAGGGAAGGTCATGGTAACATTTCTGAGGGGAATGTGTGGTTTCAACTGTCTTCTATCAGACAGTATGGTAAAATATCAAGATTCTCTTGCATAATACTAAACAAAATATATTTCTATTTCTTGGTTTATTTATTTTTAAATGACTATTTTGAATACTCCAAAACTGAGAGGTTTATAACATTTATAAGTATAGTGGGGCTTTTCCCCTAAGAATTAATAATATTCTTTTGGGTTTAAATTTACTTAAAAATTAGTAACTTCATCTTCCTCTTTGCCTGCCTCCAAAGCAAAGAAGTATGAAATAGGGCAATGAAGTTAGAGATGTCTGTCAGTCAAGAAGTAAAAGCAGAGGCTCATATTTGTGTTCATATTTGTTCCAGTTTGATTTCGTAAAGCTCATGGATGGAAAGCAACTGGTGAAGCAAGACTCCAAGGGCTCTGACGATAGCCAGCATTCCCCTCGGAACCTGATCTTAACCTCACTGCAGGAGACAGGCTTCATAGAGTACATGGACCAAGGGCCTTGGTATCTGGCATTTTACAATGATGGCAAAAAGATGGAACAAGTATTTGTGTTAACTACAGCAATTGGTAAGCTGCTTTGGCTATTATTTTGAATTGACAGTATAACTCTAGAAAGACACAATCAGTGATTAAAGTATTACAGATGTTATTTAAGCTTATTGTTCATCCTGCCTTAAACTCATTATTCAGGATAGGTCACTATGAGAAAGGCTTATATTGTTGTTGTCATTAATGTTGTTTCAATGCTGATTAAGAGTTTTTAAAAGGTCCATTATTTGCTGCTATTTTAAGATATTTGCCGTACACTGTTTTGTATGTTTTCAATAGAAATAATTACCTGGATGACATTGTTACTGAGGCTACATAAGACAACTTCGGTAAAGAAGGGTCCAAGCAGGGGAACCTCTGTTAGTTCAAGATCTATTAAAAACAAAAAAACACAAATAAGCACCTTTTAAAATGGAAAAACTTGCATCAGTCCAGTTCTTTACAATGACTGATTCTAGAACCATCCTTTAAGGTTTCAAAATACAACCTGACAGTACTTAAAGAAGAGTCTGAAAGAATAATAACTTGGGTCATTTAAAGCCATTTCTTTTAGAATTTTTTTCATTTCAAAATCATCACAATGTCTCTTTTGGTGTTCTCAGGGTCTTTTAAAACATGTTCTTTTTAATACAATGTCTTCACCCACTCTTATTCACAGTTCACCCTAGTTAGTCAGAGACATCTCACTCTTGTCATTTTTTTTTTTTTTTTTGGTGAATGCATTCCCCTTGACCCTTTGTGTGAATAAAGCTGAGCTTTTTAGCAATTTTAGAGCCCGGAGGATAAACAACTCATTGACACAGTATTTTATTGTGTGAATTTTCCTAAAATACTCGTCTGTTAAAAGAAGAGAAAATGTTTTGCAGCTGTCAGTTTTCTATACAGCTCTCACCATTTATCCTTTAGTTAATCTGTTCAACCATATGTTTAGGAAGATGTATTGACTGTTAATAGATATACCATCTGCTCTTTATAACAATTATGTTCTATTTTTACTCTATGCTGAAGACCTTGAGTCAGTAGAAAATGGTATTCCATCCATAAGTTTATCAAAAACTTTCTTCTAAAGTAATCAGAAAGGTAGTAAAAATGCACTAATTATTTTTCCCCTATTGAAATACTTTACTGATTTTATATCTTCAAAAGAAAAAGTGTTTGTTAAATTGGAAAAAATATTTTCAGTTGTGACACTGTTTTGTCACTCATGGACTCATTGGGGCAGATTCAACAGACACAGAACTTACATGATATTTTTCTATCCAGGCCCAATTTTGATAAGGCAATTGACAATGAGTTATGAGATCTAAAATACTTGTGAAGATTTTTCTCTTTTCCAGATATCCTTGCCCCTGAGCTTAAATTAAAATACTAGCCAAACTATTTACCTTTTAAAAAGTCAATAGATTCAGAGACATGCTTGTAGGTTTTTTTTCTATCCCTTACTTCCTCCCAAAAAGAACCTGACCTTTGAAATATAAGTGTTATTATCCAGATATTAAGCTGTCACTTTTCTATGCAACAACATACTAGTTTTTCCCTTATGCAAGTCAGTTTGTTTACTTTTCTGTTGTCTTTTGATATTAGAAATAAGATAAACATTTCTCCTATAATTCTACTTAAAGAGAATCCAAGTAAATTTCCAAAAAAATCAAAAGTATATAAGTTATTTACTCTAAATTCTCCCCAATAATTTTTAATGTTTTTATAACTTATGTTAATTTTAGTGAAAAGAGACTAAAATCTTTGCTTGAACAAAATAAGATTTTGTGTGAATTTATTCTAAATGTTGCTTATTCTGTATTCATAATACTAGAATCAGTTGATTGAGCTTAACTCTATTTGGTCTGCTAATAAGGCTCCAGACAGTATTAATAACCAACATTTATTAAATGACTAACATAGATCTACATTAATATATACTATTTTCCAGTAGTATGGGCAGAGTTGTCAGTATCCCATTATCTCAGTCAGTCTGCTCTGTAACATGATCGTATATGGAGTGCTACTCTGCCCCAAGCACTGCACTAGATGCTTTACATTCAGTTATCTTGTTTGATTCTCATCACAATCCTGACAGCACAGGTATAACAATAGTAATGTTACAAATATGAAAACAGAGGCCTGGAATGAGTAAATAATTTGGTAAATTCTCACAGCCAGCAAGTGGCAAAATTGAGATTTGAGACACCCAATATGCTTGTTTCCAAAGCCCATGCCCTTTAGAACATACATTCCATAGATTATGAATTATCTTTAGTTGCTCTTATGAGAAAACCTGCCAAAAGCAACACATCATCAGTGCAGACACAGATATGAAGAGGCTTTAGACTCTAGTATAAGAACAGAACTGTAAGCATAGAACTTTAAAATGATTCTCTGCTCTAATGAACTGCTGCCTAGGAAGTGATTCTGCATTAAGTTTTAAAACAAAGAAGGCAAAGTTTCCTGGAGGTCAACATAAATAGGAAAATGTATTATTTTCATTACTGGCTATTTATGCGATCCTGTTGTAGCCATCCTCTTCCTGGAGTCCCTAGACTGTCCCAATGTCTCTTTGACACCCTGTGGAGATAGCAGCTTCCAATACCTCCTATAATGCATTTTCTTCTCATTTGTGTTGCTGGTGGTAAGCCCTGTGCAGCAGTGGGCCCAGGGATAGCTTTTAGATCATTCAGTAAGATGTAGGAATTTTTATTTATTTTGATAGCAAACTTTATTAAATGTCTTTTCTACAATAGCTACATTCCCATAAGGCTACTTCCCTAAAGTTGTCAACAGGAACTGGTGTGAAATGAAATTCAACTTTTTTTACCTTTCAAATCTTCCTCCATGGCCTCTTATTAACCATCCAGACAGGGGAAATCTAAATATAGATTTAAAAACTGCCACTACTGCTTAGTATAAGAAAGTTAGATAGTAGAAAATAGAGAAATAATTGTTTCATCTTAGAATATAAAAAAAGACTCTTTGTGCTTTTTATAATGACCTTTTAAATAAATTAATAACTTTCTGAAAATAAAGGTTTAATGAGTTAAAAATGGTTAGCTCTTTGTCAAATGTTACATTCTCACCAGTCAAGTTGTAGTTCAGAAATGCCAAGTGTCAATTTCTTATCCAGTTCAGTTGTCTAAAACAGAGATAAAAGAACAGAGCATCATAAACCTACAAAAGGCTAGCTCATGTATTCACATGGGGTGGAGAAGAATGCCATCATCCAATTGATAATAGGATGGCTATCCACACAGCCACTGGATTCCTTCTCAGCTTTCTAAGAATCCCCTAATTAGACTAGATACCATTTCCTAATAAATGCATTTATTCTACCCAGGGCAGAGCTCCAAATCTAGATCATAAATTTTCTAACTATGGAAGTTTATTTGAAGCATTTGTACTCATTCTTTGAGGCTTCAATGTGGCGGAAACCTGCAGGATCACCTGCTGTATTTGTTAATATGTAGATTACTGGGCCACATTCCTCAGAGACAGATTTAGTGGATCTGGATGAAGCCCAGGCATCTGCATTGTAAGCACCTCAAGTAATTCTACTGATACAGGAAGTCAAAAAACCTCCATTGAAGAAATGCTATTTCTCTACCCTCAATATAATTCTCATAGTTCAGAGGAAGATGTTAAGACTACTTCCTAGTATATCTTGTTTTAATTGGGAATAGCTTATCCAAGTGGAACTAGATGAAGTAGATAATTTGGATTGAAAAGAAAAAACTGGTGCATATGAGAAGCATGAGTTTAATAGACCAGAACATAAAACTAGGAATCCAAGATTGCTAAGTATAGAAAACTTACAGAAAATAGTAATGAAAAGATGATTTTTTTAAAAAAACTACAAGAGTAAAATAGGCATATCATCATAGTTCATGGACTTGGAATTTAACACTATTATGTATGCAAATACAGTTTTAAATTAGAAACACTTTAATTTTTAATTAATTTTTATTGAGGTAACATTGATTAATAACATTATGTAAATTTCAGATGTACAACATTATAATTTTTAAAATCATTATCAGAAACTGGCTTCTGTATAACTTTATACTTTTTCAATCAGAGTACCTGAAGACTTGCCCAAGTTCTGTTACAGTGCATATCTTTATGGCACCAGAACTACCTATGGGCACCTTTAAAACCTTCTCAATTCCCCTAAAGCCTATTCTTCTCTAAGAATGGATTGAAGGGAAATTAGTGGCAGAGAAATGATAAGCATTTACAGTCAAGAAAGCATTTCTCAACAAAATACTTAGGTTCCAATGCTTTTAGTGGTGGTGAATTTAATATGAACACTTACTTTAAAAGCATTCCATTGTCACTTATTAATGAAAATGAAATACTGATTATCATATTTAAGCTGTCGAGATAGTAGATTAAACATTTTAAAGTGCTAGAGAAGACAATGTCATTTACTACAACCTAAATCTGAAAAATAAACAGTAGACTTAGTCTTCTGGTTACATTTTGAAGCCCACTTTGCTTTTGAGAAATGTCCTATAATCCTAGTACATTTTTAACTTTATCACGAATGTCTCATGAGAATATAATTCTTCTAGACCCTTTATGCACTTTAGAGATGAGATTGGTTTTTAGTTCTACTCTTGAATAGCCAATTCAGCAACTCCAGGGTGCTTTTAATAATTTGGAACTACATGTGACATCTTACAGAAATCTTTGACATCTGATTTTAAATAGTAAGTGCTCTGTAGACAGCAAAGGGCAAGAATGTTATAGGCCCAGAGTTTTTACAATTTTAAAAAATTAAGGATTCTGTCGTCTGTAGATTTGTTCATTTTTGTCTTTTTCTCTTTATTAATAGAAATAATGGATGACTGTTCGACTAATTGCAATGGAAATGGAGAGTGTATCTCTGGCCATTGCCATTGTTTCCCAGGATTCCTTGGGCCTGACTGTGCTAGAGGTAATGTTGCTCTGTTTTTCTGATTGACTTAGGGAAATGGATGTCATTTGAGAATTCAGGAGGAGGGGGAGTGGCAGTAGTGGTCATGGTAACAGCAGTAATAGCAGCAACACTGCCCATTGCCACTACCAAAAGTTGAGCACTTTTTCCACCAGGAACTATTCTAAAAACTTTGTGTTATGTCTTTTAATTCCTACTTCCTATCATAGTCCTACGAGCTATATCTGTTATTATCCCAGTTTTATGGGCAAAGAAACAACCTCAGAGAGGTGAAATAACTTAACCAGGGTTACCTAACAGATGGGATTTATACCTAGATCATCTAACCCAACCGCTACTTGATACTTCCATGTCCTGCATAAACTCATTCATAATGGATGGACTTTAAGAGTTAGGCAAAGTAGTTAATTGTTTATTAACTTCCATGTAAACTGGACCGAGTGGGCAATCAAATGGGCAAGTAGCCTAGAAAGTAAAGACTAGAAAATCAGAAGTTCAACTTAGCAAACTTGACCATTTCCTAGACTTGCCCACAGTTTAATCCTTGAAAAGCTTAGGTCAATCACATCATGTTTTCCCATAGTCTTACACTTACAACTTTAAAGATTCTTTCTGCTTATTTTTTGTGTTCTTAAAGTTCTCAGTCTGCTAGTACTTTAATCTCAGGTTTCTCAGCCACTTAATTTCTTTAGGATAAATTCTATTCAATAGAGAATTCTATAGCACTTGCTAGGTTCCCAGGCCCATGATGGATCTTGAGGAAGTGGGGGCAGGAGTGAAGATGATGGCTGGTAATAAAAAATAAGACAGAAGATACAGGTCCTCCCCTTAAGGAGTCCACAGTTTCAATAGGGAGACAAACAATGACGAAGCAGAGAAAGTGTTCTACTAAAGGTCTGCACGATGTGTTATGTGTGTAGACATCTCTCCAGCATAGATCTTTTTAAATGTACAATTTTTAAAGATAACATTCTGTAAAATGAATAACTCCCCATGTATTAGTTTTTTCAAATTTTCTGTTTCCCCCTCTAAAAGTAGCATATATCTTCTTGAGAAAGAAAAGCCATAAGAGAAAAAAAATCCCTAGCTTATACTAATGATAATAATTATTATTATCTAAGTTTATGATGTAATCAAAATCAAATGCCTGAAATAATTTCTCCACTCAGGATAGTTTTATAATTTATCTTTATCTCACCCCAAGAAAGGCAAATTCTGTTTATAATCATAAACGTGCCTATTTAATACGGGCCAAGACAGAAATAGTACAATTTTTTTTTGCCTGATAAATTATACAAGAATCAATAGAGAATTGCTCGTTGGAGATTTTAAAAGCATTATGGAAACATTACAAGTTCATTTTCCAATCTTCAGATTCGTGCCCTGTGCTATGTGGTGGGAATGGAGAATACGAGAAAGGACACTGTGTCTGCCGAAATGGCTGGAAGGGGCCAGAGTGCGATGTTCCAGAAGAACAATGCATTGACCCAACGTGCTTTGGTCATGGCACCTGCATCATGGGAGTCTGCATCTGTGTGCCAGGATACAAAGGAGAAATATGCGAGGAAGGTCAGAGCCCCATTTTCATCTACTGCTTTAGGCTTTTCTCCCACTGAATTGTCCAAGGCACTATTCTGTGCTTCTAATAGAGAAATAAGTGGTCTTAGCAAACCATCAGTGCTCAATATATCTGCTTTGTACATGGAACAGGGGGTTGAAGTCAGGGGAGCTCATGTCTCTCCTGACAGTCTCTAATGTTAACATGAGGCCATGTCTGTGACCCTTGCAGAGTAGTTATGAAAAATGGCATATCCCCCTCATTTTAACATTGTTTTATAACTTGAGAATTTCCATATTGATGATTTTAGGTGTTAATTCATATGCTTTCATTATTACAGAGTGCAGTAGGCTACATCTTACATTAAAGCACATAATAAAAAATATATGCACATTTGGAACCATTTTATGAATGTTTTCTTTGGGAGTGATTTTTAATTACCATTATTATTGCTTCATATTATTTATTTTTACATAGCTCATGATAAACTTGACCTCCATGCCTAAGGAATCACTAATGAGTTTCAAGGAAGTGCCTTTATATTAAAATTCACCCCAAAGGAGCCTTTACACACAAAAGACATATTTTGAAATGGCAATAGTTTTATCATTTAAAGAGACACATTGGAAAAATAAGTTTACTAGTAGTAATCAGGCCTTTTTCATGCTACATTCGTCAAATAAGAGTGATTTCAGAAATAATATTAAACCATTACCATGGGAGAGGGTCTCATTACAACTATTGTTCAGGAAAGAAGCAGCTGAAAATGCACTATAATTGCTTTTTAAAGATGGCTCATTAAGACTATTACACAGCATTCTAAAGGGTTTAATCTCATTCTGCTCCGTGAGCAAGCAAGAGTTTAGCTTTTCACCTCCCATTAGCAGTACTAGAATTTTGGTGTGAAGATTTTATCTGTTCCAATGAATGGCATTGGGACTAGTCTAGGCACCCTAGTGCCTGAGTTACTTTTGGAAATTGTTTGTATGCTATCCAACTGTAATCATGATATTTAAGTTGTAAATTCAGATGCTATATGGTCACACTTATTTACCCCCAAAAGTGGTGCTATCACAACATCTACAATTTTCCCAGAAAACTAACCTAATGAATTCAAACCGTTTTATTTAAATTACATAAGCAGTTGAAAAAGGATATAGTGTTCTAGGCATCACTGAAAAAGTTGTAGAATAACTAAGATAGCATGGAATACCATATTTGACACTGTAAACTTCAAACACAATATTAAAATAAATGCTTTAAGTCGGACATCACAGACCAGGAGCCCACAGCCTAACCTGAGCTTATAGATGGGCCTTGTTTGATTTGCATAATGGTGGTGGTGTTTTTGTTGTGTAATGTGACATATTTGCCAACATTTAAATAGAGAAGTGTCATATAAAAATCTCTATTTCTAGCCTCTTGTGAACAACATGAAACTCTGATAACCCTGGGCTCACATTCCTACATGGTGGCAATCAATTGTAGCGAAGAAGCAGCAGCTTCCTTTAAACTTCTCTCAGTTCACTCCCAATATACTCCGTTTTCTTACATCCAGCCCATATCATTTATTCCAGTTTGTCATCGGCCTGGCCCCTTCAGCCATACAACTTTATGCCTCTGATTTAAGCATAACTTACATATTCATTGAAGGTGGCCTTTTAATAAAAGAAATTATATTAAGTTAAATCTTATTTATTCAAAGTATTATATTTTATATAATCAAATGGCCTTCTTCTAAAATGACATTTTATACTTTGGACTTTTCCTTTCCCTCCAAATAATGAAATAATAGAATGAGGTGTACCTTCTGATAGTTATTTGCTGATTAGCTCAGGTATTGAAGCATTGCTCTAATGATCCTGAGATCATGGGCTAATTATAATGGCAATTACACTAAATATATGCTTGTTTAAACTTCCTCTGTTCCAAGGCCACACCACAGCCTAAAACTAAGCCAGTCTTACAAATGGTAGCAAATTGTATACGTCTTTTTTCATTGCTGGAGAAGTAATTCAAAGCATACATCTGCATCGTAGTAAATTATTTTGTTTCATCTTATTTGTATGGGAAGACTAAAAGTTGGGAACTCAACTTTCCCATTTTCCATGGTGATTGAATTAAAAGCATAAAACAATTCTCCCCAAGACAAGCATTGGAATCTACTTCCAATACAGTTTATATGTTTGTATGTATATATATATATTTTTTTCTCTAAAAATTATACATGTGTCAAAAAATTTCCAGACTCACAGAGTCACAGGCAAAAATAATTGAGTCCGTGATATTCTAAAACAGTAGACACTGTCACTGTATCCTTATAGAAGGAGAAGCCACAAGAAAAGAATTTTTTTAATATGTTGCATTTTCAATGCTTCAGCAGTCACTTTGTCAATACCTTGAATAATTCAAACTTAAACTATATAAACTTCTCTAAACACATCAAGTAAAAGGCATTTCTGGGAGCTATGATTCCAATTTCAGAAAAGACAAGAAATGACTCACCAAAAATTCTTGAGCGTTTTTTTTTTCAAAGCTGAGGAATTCCTATCGCGGGCCCTCACTGATCCACTCACCCATTTGTGTGGGAGTGCTACACACTACTAACAGTGTCACACAACATACATGTTTCTTTTTTCTAAATTTAGGATGCAATCTTTATGATATCTAATGATATTTTAAAATGTTAATAATCTATTTTGAACACAGTGTTGACCTGAGTCATAGTATTGCCTAATTAAAACAGCAGAAATGGCATGATATTAGGAAATCAATGTGAATATCTCGGTGTCATATAATGGCCATACCTGTTCATTTTAATCTTTCCTCCTTTCTTGGGCCTTCAGAGGACTGCTTAGACCCCATGTGTTCCAGCCATGGCATCTGTGTGAAAGGAGAATGTCACTGTTCTACTGGTTGGGGTGGAATCAGTTGTGAAACTCCACTTCCTATATGTCAAGAGCAGTGCTCAGGACATGGCACTTTTATTCTGGACACTGGAATGTGCAGCTGTGACCCCAAGTGGACAGGATCTGACTGCTCAACAGGTACATTAGAATTGTCTCCTTCCTCCACTCCCAGGTCTTTGCCTTAAGGTAGTATTCCTTAAAGTCTCACTTGTATGCCTTTCATGTGTTGTAAGGGGCCTCTAGGTGTTTCCTAGGCTAGTATTTTACTGTGTTTTTATATACAACACTAGAGGTTTGGTGCACAAAATTCATGCACAGGTGGGGTCCCTAGGCCTGGCTGGCGATCAGAGCCCATCAGTTCCCCACCTCCCTGCCGCCTTCTTTCCTTGCCGCCCACTTGCTACCACCATATGGTTCCCCGCCTCCCCGCCACCCTGCCTCTCCCCCTCCTTCTTCCCTCGTTGCCTGTGTGTACCACCACCCATACCCAGTTCCCCATCCCAGCCCAGGGCCCAGGCCTGATCGGGCAGTCAGGACCTGCCAGCCCAGGGGGAGGGGCCAACTGCCACAATGGCGGGAGGGCAGTGGGCTGATCAGGGCCTGCTGGCCGGGGATAGGGATGGGAGGAGGGACCCAGGAGGTTGGCCACTGGCCCCGAGGAAGGACTGGACCTTGGCCCCCCTGGGAAAGGGGCTGCATCCAGTGCCACCCACCCTCAGTTCCCTGTCCCACCCCAGGGGCCAGCCCTGATTGGGCAATTGGGGCCTGCTAGCCAGGGGGAAAGACCGGGAGGTTGGCCAGCAGGCCCCATTGGCGATGGGAGCCTGCGGGCTGGAGCAGCTCCTGCATTGAGCATTTGCTCCCGGTGGTCAGTGCGCGTCATAGCAACAAGTCATCCTGGTTGTTCTGGTCATTCCATCATAAGGGTTGCTTAGGCTTTTATATATATACTAGAGGCCAGGTGCACAAAAATTTGTGCATTCGGGGCGGGGGGTCCCTCAGCCCAGCCTGTGCCCTCTCGTAGTCTGGGACTTGGGAGATGATGACCACCTGCTGGCTTAGGCCTGCTCCCCAGGGGATCAGGCCTAAGCCGGCAGTCAGGGCGACCTCCCATTAACAGGCAGACTAGCCCATCAGCAAGGATTTACGTAATAATAAATGGGGGAGTAGTTTCAGCTACCACTGTCTGAACAAACAGAGGTGGCGCCTAGCTCCCAGCTTTGCTAGGGCTTCAAAGGCACCCAGCCTTCGGGGGGTTTCCGTCTATGCTTATCAGATAGTGAAGGCAATAAACAGTTTCCCACACTTTTGTTTTCTTTTTCTTTTATTCTGGGCCAGTATTAGCCCTGTTCTAGCTCTGAGGCCTCTGCTGCTGAAAGCAGGTATCTGGTTTGTTTGGGTTCTATAATCAAAACTCTGTATCAACTCCATCTTTGAGATCCTGGTGGGCTGAAAGCAGGTTTCTGGGGTTTTGTTTAGCTTCTATATTGGTAAGAATGTTTCAAACTGCAAGCTCCGAAACCGGCAAGGCAGGCAGGGAACGTTGGATTCCCCTGTCACTGAAGCAAGCAAACCTCATGTTAGCTTCAAGCTGCCTGGCTGCCAGCCGCCATCTTGTCTGGCAGTTAATTTGCATATCACCCTGATTAGCCAATGGGAAGGGTAGCAGATGTACGGCTAATTACCATGTTTCTCTTTTATTAGATAGGATAGATACTGCTGGGGTTTTTTATTATATTTTTCATTGTCATAGGTCTATGCTAGAACCTCTGTCCTCATTCTGTATTCTCCTGCAATTATTTCATCCATCCCCAAGTCTCCCACTATCAGTTCTATGCAGATTATTTCAAATCTCTATTTCCCCCAACTCAAATAATCCTTCATTTCCAACAATCTGCTACATATTTCCACTGGGTATCCCATCACTTAAAAACACAACTTAGCCGAGGAACTCTACTCTATTTATATAGTGCCATATTGTTGCCCAATTACTATTCCCACAACTGTGATTTCATTTTCATATTCCCTACCATAACATCATCCACAGTTCTCCATTGTCCATAGATAAACTTCAACTATCCTAGCCTCTTATTACAAACTATTTCAAATTTCTGTCTCCAGACTGTCTTCTACTTCTGCTTTCTGCATAACTCTGCTACTTCCATCTGCTAAAGTAATATGTATGTTCGCCTTACCTACATCACACTTTTCTCTGTGCCTTTTCCTCAGCCAGGAATGCTATTACCTTTCTATCTATGAAAATCCAAGCCATCCAACTAGACCAAGTACAATTTTTTATCAATTATTTTTTTACTTTGTCAATTACAGTTTACATTCAATATCATTTTGTATTAGCTTTAGGTGTACAGCATAGTGGTTAGACAATCATATACTTTAGAGAGTGGTCCCCCTGATTTTTCAAATGTCCAACTGGCCCCATACATAGTTATTACAATATTATAGAGTATATTCCCTACAATGTGAGATATTCTATAAAACATTTCTTGATCAAATCAATAAGATCCTCTGAAACCCTATGATACTCAATGCTAGAGAGTAAAAAGGGCATCGTGCTGTAGGTATTTGTGTACATGACTTGT